TAATAAAAAATATCGATAAGCTAACGCTGCGAGGAACACAATTTATAAATGGATTTCGCATTCAATATCTACGCGAGACGTGCAGGCACAATATTGTGAGGAAAAGAAGGGAAGAAGATAAAGGAAACCACGCAATCCTTCTGTCCTCAATCCAAGTTTTAGCACAGCGTTCACTTGAAACTCTTGGATAGTCATCTGGCAACCGCTGGGTAATGAGCCACACAGCGACTTCTTTGGCACCTGTAAAATAAGTTGCCAGTGAAAAACGTAAGAATATTTCAGTATTGAAACTCGCATTTTGCGATCCTTGCATACGTACAAAGGACTATAACTTACGGATATGAACCTGGAATATCCCGACCCTCTATAGGGAAGGCCCCTCTTTCCAACTGGCAGAAGACCTCAATAAATGTAGGGCTGATATCACCGTCATTCAGGAAATATGATGAACAGCACAAGGCTGCTTTAAAAGAGCATGATTTCTACTACAGCTGTCATGGAAATAGGTGTCAATGCAATTTTGTGGTTAGCAAGAGACTGTTCAAATCAATCAATCGATTCACACCGGTGAACGAAAGGCTTGCTACAATCCGTGTGAAGGGAACATTTTTCAACATCACCCTAATTTGTGCGCACGTGTAGAGAGAAGAAAAGGATGACTTGACCGAAGATACCTTCGCGAAATCGGAGAAAATTTATGTTGTTCCGACCACAACATTAAAATTATTCTCCAACGGACAATTTTTTCAACGGTCGAATAATTCAGCCGATTTGTAATTGATTTCGCTGTGGCGCGGAATATGGTAGTATGTTAAATATTCAGCCAAATCGTGTGCCTTTTCAATATTGCTTTTCGCCCATTCATTATTATCTTTTTTTAATGGAGGATTATGAGTGATCGGTCTTTTATATTTTTTCATAGCTTTCCAGAGAGAATAGTTAGTTTTGCTATCATATGTCAAGTTTGTAAGATATTTCTTAAGCTTGTAAAGCAATGCGTTTTACTCTCTAGGTCATTTATACTTCGTATTTTGCAGGATAGGTCAATATTTTCATTTATCTGGGCCTTAAAATAATTCCAGTCTGTTAGACGGTTTGTTAGTGGCGGTTTAGGTAGCGTAGATAGAATGTTACATCCTTAAGTAAGCAATATTGGAGAATGGTCAGAATTTAAGTCAAGTCCTGTTTTAACTTCAATGTCTCTTTTTTGAATTTTATTTACAATAAAGAAATCAATGACATCTGGTAATTTATTTCTATCAGATAGCCAGCATGTTGGAGAGCCAGTGGAGAGAACTTCAAAACCTGTGGCCTGATATGCTTTAAGTAATTCTTTACCCTTTGTGGTATTTAGTCTTGACCCCCATTGAACATTTTTTGCGTTAAAATCACCACCAATTATTGTTTTATGTTTGTGTAATTTTAATAGATCTATGTATTGTTCATATTTTACGTTATGTCTTGGTGGAATATAGATGGACGTTATTTGTATTTTGGAACCACTCTCTTCAACTGCAACGGTTGTTGCCTGGAACTCTTCATTAGAGAGTTTATTATCTTGATAATGCTTAATGTTGGATTTAATTATAACGGCACTTCCGCCTCTAGCATTATTGCTTGGATGAATAGTATGATAAATATTATAGTTTTTAAAATTGATATACGATTCTTTTGTAAAATGAGTTTCGCTTATTAGGCATATGTCTATATTTTCTGTTAGCAGAAGTAATTCTTATTCGTTTTTGTGTTGAAGCAAACCATTTGCGTTCCATTCCATAATTTTAAGAGCAATCATACAGATGTACAATTATGTTTTTGTTCTAAGTTGTCTAGGCGATTTTCTATTGCCATTAGTTTTTCAAGAATAACAGAGAGGAAATTTGTGATTCATCAGATATATTTATTTTTTGGGCTACGGAGGTTGTTGGCTTAATAGCGTCTGCATATGATACTTTAGCGATTCTTCGACTTGTGTATACTATTGGTCTTTCGATATTATCTGTTTGAACTGGGACAGGAACTTTTTTTTTGTTTTTTGGTCTCTTAATTTTTGAAGCTCCTTTGCGACTAAACAACCGCGATATGACGCTGGGTGTTGCTCCCCACAGTTGCAACATTTTGGGTGACTATCATCGGGTTTTTCACAATTTATAGTTTCATGCTTACCTGCACATTTCACACACCTAGGCTGCTTTTGACAGTAGTTTTTTGGTATGGTTGAAAGATTGACATTTGGTGCACTGCGGGATAAGTTTAGAGGGTTTTATTGTTTCTATAGATACTATTGTGTTTAATATTTCTTTGATTTCATGGATTTTGTTCGTATCTTCTACTGACTCAAAGGTTAAGATGAACATATCCAGAGGTTTCTTGGTTTTAAATTGTAGCTTATTAAGTGCGCTGACAATTTTTAAAACCCTTTTCTGTAAGGTCGCCTACAATATCTTCAGGGTCGCATAAGTGATGCAGGTTTTTTTTGCTATAACTCTTATTGGTCTAACCTGTTTATGTTCATAAGAGTGCCATGAGAGATTTGCTTCATTTAGAGCTCGAGTTACTTCCCGATAATCTCCGTGTGGTGGCGGGATAAGAATACCACCTCAGTTTGTCTCTGCTTGTCGTAAAAGGCGACTAAAAGAGAAAATGCACAGGTTAAAGTAGAACTTCTACGATTCCTGGTAAGTCGTGAGGGCGCACAGGTCAAAGTAGCTTGCTACGATTCCTGATAAGACGACCCTTCTGCTAGCAGGTCGGCCCGGCATTTGCTCAGGCCCTGCTAAGTTGACCAGCCTTCGGGAAGTGCGACTATCTATCAGGTCAACTGTCAAGCGATAAGTACGGTCATGTCTCTGCTTATCGTTTGACGCAGATAGTCGGGCGGGGTGAAGGAAAACACCCTTTTAGTGAATGAGCAGTGAGAATGATTGTATGAATGTGTGAATAAATGGATTGTGTGCATTAGAAATAAAACCCCCCAAACTAAGGTGGAACAGCTACGCCTTTAGCTTGGCTGCTGGGGTAGAAGCAGTCTTAGTAGCGAACTCAGGATACCTGGCGACCTCCTGTTTTAAACAGCCTTACCTGTGCAATGCGAAGCTCTCCGCAGGTGGACATATCTCTCTTCGCAACTCGTGGGAATCAAAATTGATAAACAAATTTTAAATATACCAACTCAAGGCGAAGTGGTTGATGCTGATAAGGTGGACAATGAGGCCTCACAGGTCGAGCTGATAGCCTTAGCTTCAGATACCACAACGCATGACGGTCATGAGACCAACAAAATGGTGGACGAAGAAGCCCCGCAAGAGGCTGAGCCGTTAACCAAAACAGTTGGAAACATGACAAAGACTGATCTCGACTTGGCCGAGCGTATCCGTCTGAACAAGAGGGAGAAGCAGAAGCGAAGAAGAGAGAGGCAAAAGGCTGCAAAAGCCATAAGATCGGTTGAACAACTAGCCGATCGACTCAGCGGACTATCGCATGTGGAATCGTCGCTGGAGGAAGAGCAGCTAGCAAAGAGGTATAAGGGCGGATGCCCGGAAGCTCCGACAGCAAGCTCAACTCCGTCAGCTAGAATCACAGGCGATAACTCTGATGGTGGACAACCAGTAAAGGATGTCAGCCAAGCTGAATCGACAGTCAAAGATCCAACCAGTGCACGAGGTGGAGTACCTTATCAGGCACTCAACCGACCCGCATTGGTTGGTAAAAGGACTGTTGGGCGGCGTGGTGGACAACCTTTAGCGGCTGATAACCAGAAGAGAACGCAAAACGGAACTGGGGTTAAAAAAGGCGGAAAACCCATACAGTGTGTTAACCAACCAAAACAAGGCAAACAACTTATAACTGTTGTTAACCAAGTGGGGCCCCAGACCAGTACAGCGGACCATCTACCTAGCACAAGTAAGGCTGCAAATAAACAGAATTACGACAAGCGGGCAGTAGGAGACGCAAAGGATAGCCCTGCCCATAAGAGGTCCTATGCCCAGTTCGCTGGGACGGATCTCAATATGGGCATCACCGATTCAAGAGTCGAAGGACCTCTTGGCGAGAAACACTTAGTTGCTTTTAAAGCATCGTTGTTGAACGCCGTGGAGTCCTTAGATGGCGGAATAGGTGACATAGGGTTTGTTGGCAACGCTCGCCTTGAGGATGGGTACATTACCATTAAGTGAAAGAACCAACAGTCAAAGGCATGGCTAATCAGCACGGTAACTAAGTTGGAAGGCCTTTGGCCTGAAGCTAAGCTGACGGCTGACACGCTAACGGCGTTGCGCAACGAAAGAAGATTACTTATTTTTGTGTACGACTCTACCGTAGGCAAGGAAAGTATTCTTAGCAGACTGCAGAAGCAAAACAGCTGTGTTAAGGACACTTCAAAGTGGAGAGTTACTAACTTCAACAAGTTTGGCGAGGAGAGCAGTGCTGGCGTCAGGCTCACAGTGTGGTGCCCGAAAGAAGACGCGGAGGCGATTAAGACCGCAGGGGGTAGGCTCAACTGTGGTCTTGATCAAGCCAAAGTGAAATTCTAAAGGGATGCACGACGAGCAATACAACGCCTCTGGTATGGGGCTAGCGGGTCTGTGTAGACCGTTAGGGAGGCGGGTGGGCCCATACCAGAAAAACATAAAGGTTGAACAACTGAATATTCATCACAGTAAAGCAGCATCAGCAATGATCCTGCGACACTTTGACGAAGAAAAGTTGGACATACTACTGATTCAAGAGCCCTGGATTGTTCAAAACGCTATTATGGGACTTGGTACATCAGTTGCCACGCTGTTCTTTCCACAGGCAGCTGGTAAAATAAGGACATGCATAATGGTGAGGAAGGGGATACAATGCATCCAATTGCCTCATCTATGCTCACCAGATCTTACTACGGTAAGAGTAGGGAGTG